GCCAATTGATTTCTGGAAAAATGTCATATTCTCCGACGAGAGTAAGTTCAATATCTTTACATCCGATGGCAGGAAATTAGTTTGGAGAAAACCTTGTAATGCTTTTCATACCAAAAATATGTTACCTACAGTTAAACATGGAGGAGGTTCTGTTATGATTTGGGGGGTGCATGGCTGGCAAAGGAGTTGGTAATTTGTGTTTTATCGATGGGAATATGGCAGCTCGAACCTATATTGATGTATTGCGAGATAACTTGCCACAAAGTGCAATAAAATTGGGTATCAGTAATTCGTACTATTTTCAGCAAGACAATGATCCCAAGCACACCGCCGGTATAACACGTATGTGGTTGCTTTATAATGTACCCAGAAAACTTGCCACTCCACCCCAATCACCAGACTTAAATCCTTTGGACAATTTGTGGAATTCTTTGGAATTTAAAAATAAGTAAAAAGGAAGATTTCAAGCAAATCTGCCCTTAAACAAGCCCTTATTGAAGAGTGATCGAATACTGACCCTACTATTACAGAAAATTTAATTAAATTAATGCCAGCAAGATTACAAGCAGTAATAGATGCTAAAGGAATGCATACTAAATATTAGTTATTTGAAATTTGCTTATATATTTTATTTCTTTTGTATTCATGCAGGTGTGCAAATACTTTTTTGACACGAGGTATTTTAATTTTATTACAAAAAAGCATTGTTATTTATATTATTGTAATTTTTCTGTTTGTTTTGGATGATTAAACTTATTCTGATTTGGCAATACCAATTCTTTTATTTGTTAATGCTTCTTTTTATGAAATGCAAACAAAAATGTAGCTGTGCAAATACTTTTTTACTCACAGTACTAAAACTGCCATCTTTGAAAGTAACTAACCTGTCTGAAAACGGAAACCGCTGTTGAGCATCAGCCGTCTAAGATAAGACTATTATCTAACACCCATTTCCCCAAAACATCAAAATCGCCTTGAATCGTGGTTCATTGAGAGATTTATTGTTTTAAAAAAATTGCAGGTACTTACGTATTATCGCAACCAGGTTGGCGCGATTTGTAAGTTTGAGTAAAAAAGTATGAATAGAAAGAAAATGTACATTTATTAATTACAGATAATTTTTAATACAGTTTTTTATATTATTTTGTTTTAAAATATAAAATAGCAATTAAACCCTTCCGGTTTCGAATTGGAATAAGTTGCAGAATTATTTTTTCGGCGGAAATCTTTTGGCTATTGCTTTTAGCACTGATTCAAAACCGTCTTCGCCATTAACAGTTTGAGCTTGGCACCATATAAATTCGATAAGGTATGAGTCAAGATGATGACGGGCTGTTCCTCTCTGTTTTTTGTTGCGCTATTTGGCTGAGCCCCACATGCGCTCTACATGTTGTGTGTGAACGCCCGTGTTGGGATCCACAAAGTTATATTTGTGATTAACAGTTCCATGCAGAAATCCAGCATTTTCGAATTCACTTGTATTGTATCCTTTCCAGCAATCCAAATAAATGATGATTCCTTCCTTGATATTTTCGCAAATTTTTTCCATGAGGGTAACGGCACTTCTGTTAGATACAGTAACCAAAAAAGTCTCTTTTCTCGGCAAATTCCGCCGAAAACCCATTGCTGTGGTAGTACACGCCCAGTGTTATTTTTTCTTTTTACAAATAAATTATTTTTACAAAACTACGTATAACACGTAGGGTTGCCGTAAGTAGGGTCGCCAAATTTGGCGATTTATGCGAATTTTGGCCTGGTTGCGTTAATACGTAAGTACCAAATTGCAATATTTATAAAAATATTGTAATCCGTACTTTTAACTTCTTTCAAAATGCAGATTTATTAATTTATCACATGATTTTTATATCTTAATGTAAAAGAGATAAATAAACCCCCCCAAAAAAAAAATTCTGTTTTCCAAAATTTTAAGTAGGAACACCGGGGGGGGGGAGGACTGTAATTAAATAGATTGCGCTATCAAGTTGGGGAAAAAGCACACGAAGGTCTATGGGAGGAATGACTTCGTACATAACTTTCTAAGGGAAATTAATTCCCATTTAACGGGTACCCCGTCAAAATAGCCCATGATAAAACAGTCTAAATCAATGGTTTTAAACAGGGACCCGCAAATAGTTAAAAAGATTTTTTTAAATCTAACTATACGTAGGCAATACAAAAGAGCGGCACGGTGTAGGTATAAATCAGTAATTATATCTTGCACGTAAATGCATTATAAAAGATGTACACTTTCAAATTTGAAGTTGTACACGTTGTTGCATTTGCTGGTTGATAGGTGTAGCTTACTAAAAAATGTTTCACAACCATCTATCAAGTAGGGAGGCATAGTAATAATATCCGCATGCAGGTTACTACGCCATACAGAAGTTTGCTTTTCCCACAGAAGATTTGCATTTTTTGAGGAAAAAATATCTAAGTATCGCAATAATCTTGAAATACGAGTGCCAATAAATACTGTTTTTTTTTAATGGTCTTACATGCTTTCCTTTTATTTAAAAAGGTATATAAAGTGTAAAAAATATTTTTATTTATTTTTATAAGAATAAATCTAAAGTTAAATTAAATTTAAATAATTCTCTTCCGCCATTGTTGCAAGGAATGAAATAGAATATCTATTAAATTCAAATTAATTTATTTTTAGATAATAAAGCTGGATGTAAATTTTGTTGAGTTATATAAAAAGTCGATATTCGCATAAAGTATTTAAAAAAAAAAAAAAAAAAACTGAAGTAATTTTACCACCCATGCTAATGTTATCCCTTCTGCCGCTCGTAGGCGATAGTAATCAGAAAAATACTAAGTTTTCCAAGCGACATCTAACGTAACTGTAAACACTTACATTAATATTTAATTGTTGAGAGTCATTAAAAATGATATACCTGAACTGAGCATATATACATGAAATGTTTACAGTGAAATAAAAATGTTTTTATCCAAAGATTAAGAACTTCTTAATGATTCAGACTTTAAAGGTTGTTGTTATTCTTGTTATAATCTCACTTGTCTGAGCAAGGTCAGCATAAACCCACCGCATTCATCATGGCAAGGAGGCAAACGTACATGTTGTTGTCAAGTGCCTTGAGCACCATATAGGTGACAGACTTTAGCTCAATTCTGCCCCCCCCCATTTTGAAAGAAAACACCCTGGGGGACGGATCTGAGGGTATCTCACCCCTTTTTCCCTACCAGCAACCTCTCAACCAGACTTTCGGCTGGCCCAGAGCTTAATTTTTAATATTAGAAGTGCAGGAGCCCTATGCAAAACCGTCAGCAAAGAGGAACAAAAGTAAATAAAAGAATTATTAAAATCCTTAGTAATTAAAAATTAAATAGTTAATTATTACCAAATTAATTAATGAATACTTAATTAATGATAATAATTAATATTCATCAATTATTGTTTAATTAAATAAAATTCGTTACAGATTAACGTAATTAAATAATTAAAATAAAAATAAAATAAAATATAAAGAGATAAATTAAACTTTAATAAGCGATATGTAATATAATTTTATTGAAAAAATAAAAATTTTCGAGATCAGATTTCTACTGAAATTGTTCAGTTACATAAAAGAAGCGCCGGAGCCCTTATTTAGGGCTCCGATGCGCTCCGTTTAAAATTATGATTTATACCAAAAACTAAGAAGTACCGGAGGCGGGCTCCGGCGCACTTTAGGCTCTGGGCTCGCCGGGTATCCAAAAAACATTTTACAAACATCCATCCCTTCTTCTGGATTCGAACCCAGATCCTTAGATGCAGCCGTCAGCTTCATATATATGCAGATAGGATATCATAGTTAGAAATTCATTTATTTAGTATAAGTTCTATTTTCACATTTTACTGCACACTTTTCAGATGTCGTGAGAACGCTCACGAATTGTAAAGTATCAGAATTTGCCACAACCTTTGCGCAAGCAAAAAACAAGACTGACCCGAATGAACTACTTTCAAGAGGAATGCACTTAAAAAAACCTCAAAAATGAAAATGTATTCCAAACACAGTGCATGTATGAAAGAAATGATACAATTCTGTGGTATCGATAGCTTTTAGAAGTCAATTAAGTATATGTTATCAAAAGAATAAAGGACATTTTTTTTTAATTTGATGCATTTTTGCTAAATTTGATAATTTATTAATATTTTCTCTAGTTTTGACTATTAAAATTTTTGTAGAAAGAGCCTTACTTGAAACTGTTGTACATGTTACTTTATTTTTATAAACAGCCGAAATACAATTTCAAGAATTTTAAGTAGTATAATAAGGTATGAGTTTTTATTTATTTTAAAGGACACCAAATAATACTCTAATCTTCGGGTACGCACTTGATATGAACAAAACAGAACATGACAAAATTACAATATAGTCTGATGTTTTGCGTTGAAGACCAGAGTGTTTTGTTTCAAATCTAACCTTAATCGCAGCACTTTTGAAGTTGAAATAAAGAAAAAATAATTAAAATATCAGTTCAATAGATTCTTTTCCATTGTATATTTTTGCATGGTAATATTAAATTATCATACTTTACTTCATGCAACTTTTAATAATAATTTAATAATAATATTTTAATAATATAATAAATATCTTACCATATGCTTTATTTTTGCTCCAAATATGTATTGTTTCTTCTTGATGTATTGATATTCTAATACAGCAAAATGTTACAAGAACATGTTTTCTCATATTTAAATTTTTGTAAAGGTCACATAAAATATGTTCCATTATTTACTTGCTATTATGATTATTTCTTAACAACTTGGATAAGTAACCAAAGAAAATTATAAATTATAAATACAGCTTTATAAATACAGTATTTAAGGTCGTCTTAAAAATTTATTTGAAAGCTAAATTTCTTGTCTCTTGTAATAAGGGGGCATCAGAGTAGGGCATAAAAAATAAAGTTCTAAAAAAGATAGGAAATAAAATAAAGTACGAGTAAACCCCTGAATGTAATGACCTAGCTCCAGCAGATGGCAGCACTTCATGTATAACCGGTCTCAAAGCGGATGTTGTGTGGTAGTGAGGGAGGAAGCGTAATCTTTGAAATGGATGTTAGTGCTGTGAACGTGTTACTCGATTTTACGAATGTTATGCCGACGAACTATTAGTTAATAAATAATTGTATGTTTAACAACAAGAACGTCTCTACTTAGCAGAATCTAGAGCAGCTGTTATTGTTTTTATGAACGATGGAAATTATCTTCTACTGTGCTGTGCTTTTCCCCAACCATCGTGAGCTTGTGTTTACATTTTCATCCGCAGTTCCGCCATCTTTTACCACTCCGAATATTTATAGTTGGCTTAAATTTGCAAAAAAAAAAAAAAAAAAAAAAAAAAAAAAAAAAAAAGTGACCGAGTTGCAATCTATTGATTTCATGTGCACATCGAAATAACTTTACTGCTACTGTGTTTTGGATATAACATCATCTGCTCGTGAGAATACATGCTGCAAAACATAGTAGTAATGGATATTTTCTACTTGCCTTGTGACCTTTTTGTAATTTGAGATGCTAACTATGCATTGGATTTTTTATTGCAGCCTCAGTGTAATGACGAAGAAAATATCAGCTTATATGCATTATCAGGTAAGTGTTTTTATTAATCTTGTGCTACAAATCTTGTTGAACATTGAGTGTGTTATATTAAGTAATTGTGTTTGTTTACATGCTCTTAAAATAATGTAAAATCTTATTTTAAATTTTCTGAAAGTTGTTGAATATTTTAATTATTCTGTGTGAGACGAATATTCATTACAAAGTGGATTACGTACAAATGCAACCAGCTGACAAAAAAAAAAAGGAAAATAATACCTTAAATTTCTTCTAGTATGGTCGTACATCATGCCAAAATATTTTGTCTATAGCATATTTTTTTTCTTTTCTTTATCAATACTTTCAGTTTAAACGAGTTCTGTGTTCTTATAGGATTGCATTGTTCCTCTCTTTTATCTCGTTCAGCCGTATTTTTATTATAAATCTTACTGAATTTGTTAAAAAATGTTTTTACACATCTTAAATAAAGTCGACGGACGTTATAACGGCCTTTCGCGTCCTATGAAGAAAAAGCGTTATAACGAGTAGTCATAAGTGCATTTATTAGTGCTCTTAACTCTGGGGTTCCAACCAAGGAGGCTTTCATAATTTCAGGCTGGAATACGGTCAGCCTGACACCATTTACTTTCTGCTGTGCTGTGAAAAGGCTTTTTCTAGGTATTTTAATCTTAACTTTTTAAAATCTAAATGTATATGTATTTTTTGAGTTTTGGAAAGGCAGGGGTGATTGATCTAACAATGGTGAAAAGGGTGCATGGAACAAAACAGATTGAGAACCATTGTCTTAACCATTTGGAGTTTATTTTTGCCGGTCGTAATAATGGAACAGTCGCTATCCTGAGCGTTCAGTATAATAAATTTAAACTGTATTTCTTAAGAACATTGAGGAAATTTAATTGAAAAATTCAGTGACTTACTTGTAATTTAAGTTGCATTAATCGTTAATGTAAGGTATTTTAGATTGTTTAAGCAATAAACTGAAAAAAAGAGAACTATTTTTTTATTTATGTAAAAATGGTGTCATGTATGTATAAGTTTTCTTAAAATTTACTGAATAACTTTTCACATTAATTAAAGAATCCTTTTTTTTTGTGTAAAACCACATTCCACAGAGAAGTTCCAATAAAATTTTCTATTCATAAAATGGCTGTAAATGCAGAAATTGAGTTGATTAATCAAAATGTTGTGAAAATTCTACATTTAATGGAATAATTGATGATACTGTCAAAAATTAAAACGAAAGAGTAGATATAATTTCTAGGAATTAATAGCACTTAAACTAATTCCATGCCTGTTTGGCTTTGCCATTTACCTGCCGATCTTCCGAGTTATTACTTAAATTACATAGTTTGTCAATTTCATATAATAATTCATTAGATTCAGTATTTATCGTCCATCAGTTTCCGAACGACAAAAATCAACGAACACTAATAGTTCGATTCGGCGAAATGCCGCACGAGAATGTTCTTGTTACCCCCCCCCCCTTGTTGAATTAATACGAGTCAGTTTCCCATAGAAAGTCCTCATGTAAGTACCTCTTCCTTTACGCGGATAACCCTCGTATTCAAATAACCGTAGACGATTCAGTATTTATTTAACAAGAAAGGTCCAAGCCTGAACTCTCGATTTTTTTTTTTTTTCCCCAAAAGCGTATGTAATATGAATGTACTCGTAGTAATTAAAAAATTTGCTGCAGATTTTCTATAATTATCACCACCTCCAATGATCGCCAGTGACGAGCTTTTTGTGAAATCTTAAAACAGTGCAGTATCTCCAAAAGTAGTTAGATTTGTCTGTTTTCATTACACTTTTCAGACTGTTTCAAAAGTTAATTTTTTTTAAAACATCGTATATTTCTAAATGGACTAATGTATTTAGAGTTTTTTTTTTTTTTTTTTTCCTTCTGCTTTATATCCAGTAAATTAAATGTTTTATTGAAAATGCTTCTAAAGTTTTTCAACGAAATTGCAATCTTCACTTACTTGGAACTTTGATATAGTTAATTCTACAATTTTTTTCCCCCCTGGTATCAGTGCCCGGCCCCAGAGCCTTTACGGCGGAAAAAAATTTAGAATTTAGAGAAGCACCGAGTAGCTAAATATAGAAATGGCAAAATTTTTAGAATTTAAAAGAAGACAGTAGAATTGAAAAGCGGAAAATATTTAGAATTGAGTGCACCGGGCAGCAGAATTTGGACTCTTAGAAATTGACCAGGCGGCAAAATGCCTTGTGCTGGCCCTATATGATAGCCTTGTAGTTCTATCAGTCGTTGCGCTATCATACCATTTTTGAATCAACAAAATAACCATTAAAGAAGCATCGGAAAGTTGCTCCGAAGTATTAAACAGCTTAGCCCAAAGCTTCGGCGTTAGTGGTGTAGCTACTAAAAAATATATATTAACACTCAAAAGTCACAGCTCCTGCTTGCTAGACTGAAAAAGCGGAATTGAAAGCCAAAGAAAAATCGCTTCCTTTTCAACGAGCCGGTACCCATTGTTCCAAAGGCTAATTACATAGGAATCATCATTAATGATAAACTCACGTGGTCACATCACATTGATCACTTGAGAAGCAAAGCAATCAAAGTCATGAAGTGCCTACTTGCCATCATAGGGAAATACTCAAAACGTGACCTTTCAAAGAAAAAAAATTCATCTACACTTCAAGTATTAGTCTTAATGACTTAACCTTCGGCAGTTTGGGCTACTCCTTCAGATATACACATGCTTCAAGTTGTGCAAAACTTATTTTTAAGGATCAATATTAATGCACACTATTTTGTTTGAAATAAATTTCTACATGCTGACTTTAAACTGGATACATTGGGTAACTTTCTCAGGAAAGCTAATAAAAATTCTTCGAGAGTGCTCAATTTTATGACCAAATGACTTTTCACCACGAAGTACTCAACGAAGGTATCACTCTACTTCAAGCGCCCACTGAGGCAACCGAATCCAGACAGCCGAAAAAACAACATGCACTTAGCATGTTAATCGCTACCTGGACACTTTGATACTTCCGTCGAATTAGTTCTCTTTCCGCGATTCCTCGAGTACAGTCCCCCCTCCCTCAGCTCCTCAGGGAATGTCACACTAAGTCTTTAAGAAGAGCTGGGCAGTTTCTTTGTGAATAATTTAGTCTTCGTTAAGTTAAGGCTCCTCTCAAAATCATTAACTTCATTCTATTTATAATTGTGCTAAAATATTAGCTGTTATTTTCATATCTGTGGCTTTATTTGCAAATTATATACAACGATATATATCAGGGGTGGCCAAAGTGCGGCTCGCGAGCCTGATATGGCTCTCGCAGGCAGTTTGTGCGGCTCGTGCATATAAAATATATGTATGAAATATGGTAAACTAAAACTGTTCAGTGTCCAAAAAGAAGTAATTAATTAGTTTAGACTCCTTTACAAAGTTATCAGGGATTTCTTTCTGTTTAAAACATCCTACACTACTTCTGTAATGATGTAAATATGAACTTGTGGCTTTTAGAAAATCTAGATGCGGCTCTCGAACATTCCTGAATTCAAACGTGCGGCTCTTACTGACATGAAGTTTGGCCAACCCTGATATATATATTGTGTTGTCATTGGTTATTGTGGTCACATGGGTTCGAATGAAGCAAATGAGCAGCGTAAGGTTTAATAAGTATATTCTCCTCCAGAAAGAAATCTGCTCTGGATCAGATTGTTACAAAAATATCAAAGTATCTCCTCCAGAATCGCGGAACCGGGAACCTGGCTTCAGCATTTATTAGTGGCCGAGCAGTTAAACCGCTGAGCACTTGTACTTCAACCCAAGTTCAAATCCCGAAGAACGAGCTCTCTGCATAAAAGTTTTGACGACTTTTCCGATTCGTAATGTAAATACGAGACAATCTTCAATTAAAAAAAATTCCCCCACGAAGGTGGCCCATCCTTTAGCAGATAACTCTCGTGTGCTTTACCATAATCAAAATAAACCAAAACTTAAGCATGGCTCGTTTTCACTTTGTCCTTTTCCTCGTCATCGTCAGCATCATTCCAATTTTTAAGATCTTTGCCGCGAATGCTCTACAGTCAGTCATAACTTGCAAACTTGGTTTTCTGCTTTTATCTATTCTTAAACGGACTATTACACTATTTTTCGAATTACTATTAAATTATACTGTTTCAAGCCAAATTATAGCCAAAGAGCATAAAAGAAAAAGTTTTTACTCTCATAATTTCGTACGTCAAATTTAATTTACCAGGACTACTGTTTTATGATTTTAAATCTGAGTGTGCGTTGAGATTAAAAGCGACTTTTGCACATGAAACTTAAATATTTAATTCTTATGGAATTTGAATCACGTGTTTTTCAGCATGTAAATAACATTTATGTAAATCGACAGAATGAATTGAGGGCATAATGTTACATGTTTTAATTTTAAATAATATGTAAGATTTTCTATATTCTTTATTTAATGGTGGCCGATAGATAAAAAATTCTACTACAAAACATGAGAAAAGTAGGTTCCAAAAATATATATTCAATTATTCGGAAAACCTTCTTATCCAGAAACGACGCAATCCTGTTGCTGACAGTTACAAGTGATTCTACGGTAATTTGCATTCGTGAAATTTTATGCCTAGCTTCTATTCACTTTTGTGCTTTATTATGTGCTATTTAATTCTTAAATTGCATATTGTTTAGTTCATCTGTGTTGTATTATGTTCTTCCTGAGAGATTTTAGTTTTGAAAAAAATCTAGTAAGTAGTAATGTAAACGAACAAAATTAATAATAGTACAGGTAGGCCTTCTAAAATGCAGTAGATACGTTCCTTGAAAATACCGCTTTGTGGAAAATCGCGTTATAAGAGACACAAACTTAATACAAAAATTGGGCTTCGGTTCTAAAAAGAGAAAACATGGTGTAACATATTCATAATTTTTTAAAAAAAATTATATACATTAAAAACATTTCATAAAAAACTTCAATGTCATGTAAAAACTAAAAAGATTGTTTTCAAGTCAATATCAAAAAGAAGCATAATGTTATGCTCACAAATT